TGTATATGTATATACATATACATGTATATGTATATACATATACATGTATATGTATATACATATATATATACATATTTATATACATATACATGTATATGTATATACATATACATATACATATTTATATACATATACATATACATATATATATATATACATATACATATACATATACATATATAAACATATACATATACATATACATATACATATATAAACATATACATATATATATATATATATATATATATATATATACATAGATATATATATATATATATATATATATGCATCTGTTCGCCTGAACATTAAACAAATCGGCTTGGTTAAGAAGGGTGAAGAGGTAAAACTATATGTGCAGTACTTCGCCATTAATATTTTGGTAAACCGTTGGTAATTTGTGAACACTTTGCCTGGAACTGTTTCTGACCAAAGATTACACTTTCTCTCAAGTCCTTGCTATTGTTTTATGCATCTACTTCTTTGTTTTCTTCCACTCTTGAACACTTCTTTTTTACTTTTCTCATATTTGTAGAATGTAACTGCTGTTGCAATAATCATAACATGTTTGGCATTTTGACAGACTTTGGGAGGCCAATTTATATTAATCAATTCGGATCTCACAACAGAGATGAGACATTAGGTGGAGTTACTAAAACAAAGTTTGACAAACCCTACTAAAAATTGAAGTCGAGCCACTGTAAAACTAGGTTCGCGTCGACTCGGCCGAACTAAATTGTAATCGGGTCGGGTATCTCGGCCTACGCCATCCGACCCGTTACCGCACCTGGCGACTTCCTACCATCGAATGATCCTTTCCGAAGCCGGAACGCGCCGTCACACGGAGGGAGGGGAGAGGGAATGGGTTGCGGCGAGTCGGCGTCACTGCTTCTGCTGCTCCTCCTCGTCTTCATCAACAGTGCGATTCCGATCGCCGCTGGTAAGATCCCGTCCGAGTCCTTCGTAGGCTCTCTAAATCGCTAAAACCCTTTTTCTTGAAATGTCTTGCATCTCGAATTGGAAAATTGGAGTTCAATGAGCTTCTTGGATTCGATCTTGACCCCATTTTCGATTTTGCCTTCGGTTATCTGAATGCTTCTTGGACCAATACGTGGGTGTTTGGATCATCTTGGGTGTTCTTTGCTCTCTTGATCTTCGTGGCGGTCGCTATCTTGATCCAGGCGTTTGGTCAACAAAGCATGACTTTGATTCGATGATGTACTGTCTTGGTGGTCTTCGCCTTCGTTCACTGTGATTCGTTTATTGAATATTGGTTCTCGTAGGTTATTCATTGGATCTTGGCTTTTGTTCTGCAAGGGGATTCATTAGGTTTGGTCGAGAAATCTTGATTCTTTTCGTGTCTTGATTTTCGTGATGGTCGGCACGAGAACTTATGGGTTTGATCAAGAGCACTTTAGTCTGATTTGATGATGTATCATCTTGATGCTCTTGGCGTTTGTTTTATTATGGAATGGGTTCTTGTGGACCCTCTAAATGGGGTTGCTAAGGGGGATCATATAGGAGTTCATTGAAAATAGCTAAAACCTAAGCTTTTGGAACCCTCTGCACCTTAATTTCTTTGTTTAGGGTTTTCAGTAGCCACGTCCCCATGTAGATGAGCTCTTGCTGCAGTCTGTGAAATTGTTACTACTGCTGACTCCTCCAGCGGGAGCTTGGCCTCCCAAGGAAGAGGAGGAAGAAAAGATTTTCAAGGGACGATGAATAGAAGCAAAAAAGGAGACAATAATTTGAATGCACAGATGATGTGAAATACCTTAGAGTAAATAATTCTGTAGCCACATGATGATGCAACTTCTAATTATTAGTTTTCCTATGTGTCTTGATTGCCAATTATCTGACCATATGGCTTACACATCAACCAGCTTCGACATGAAGATGTTGTCTCCCGCTGATTTGTTGAACTTGATGTTATCCAAAGCAACTGCTCCCAAATATTCAATTTTGTGGAACTCATCGATAAATTTCTCACTTTCTCGGCTGATAACAAACTGCCTTTTCTTGATGTTGATGAGATAAATATCCACAATATAAAACTCTACATGTTTCTCTAATTTCAGTAAGACCTACTTTGTGGATCCATGGACTAATTGTTAGATTCCAGTTCATGATTTTCTCCCTTATTGTGTGGCCTTGGTTCTGCAAGGTGAGTGCTATGTTATATTAACAAAGTAGTGTTTGACAGTTACAAACATAACAGTTCAGCAGGCATGTAGAATACCTGCATCATAAGCTGGTCTTGGTCGGTTTCCTGTTATGACAAGGGTTGCAGCCTACCATCACATATGGAAGACACTAGTGTATCTCAAACCTAGACTATCACTGTGAGTTACTTCTGTGCATTAATAAAAAAATCATGAAGTAGGACTTCTGGATCTTGTGACATGTTCTTCATGATTTCATTGGTCAACTTTGTGTCATTAAGTTGCTTGTTGATGCATGTATGTATTTTAGGCATAGGCATTTGTGTGGTGTGCCATCATCTGCAGAGCTGGTCCAGTTACATATGTGATATAGCATGCGCTCTTACGATGTACCTTTTATGGGGACTCCTTTAATAGGGACATTGGATCCAATTGGTAGCCTCATTGCTATGCATCTCAAGGTAGCTGCTTTAGCATGTACCTGAATCAAAATTGTGTCTTAAGTAAAAAACCGATCACTTGTACACAACTTTGTTAAATGGAATTTTATATTGAACAAGCCAAATGATTCTTGAAATTCTAAATGTCATAGTTCAATGCCTACCTTACACAACAGGGTTAAGATTTAGCAAGCACTTGGAGTCTAATATTTGTCCCAAAAATAGATCCCTTCTTGAATGGAAACTTATGCTTATTAGCTTTGATGTCAAACAAACCACTTCTTATCTGAAGTTCAGAGTCTGAACTAATTCAGGTGTTCATGACACATCCGAAACATATTATTCACGAAAGAACTGAGATTGCTCTATTCTTTTGTTCATAGTATGTCTTCTATGATACCTAGTTGTTCCATCTTATCTTCCGGTTTCCATGTGGCCAAGAGGGTAATGAATTTTATGGATATGACAGGATACTTTGTCATCTTGATTCATGAGTAAAGGTTCATTGAATGTCCATTATTATAGATTTCTGTTTTCAGGTACATGTTTGTCCAACTAAGTCCAAAAACATAACTAGGTGTAGCTATAAATTAATTTACTTTCTTCACATAGAAAGTGGTTGAATCTTGTATGATTTCTATGGTTGAATCTAATACGATATCATGTAATTTGGATGATGGATAAAATTTGGAGCAATTTTTAGTTCCATTCATGTATAAATACCTGATTTAAATTTATTTTGTGCTTAGCTTAATATAGCTTAGCATTGTTATCAAAATTTAGTTTCAGCTTCCTTCATAGGTAGAAGTTGGACTATATGTATGGCCAATCAATTCCTATTGAAGATATGCTAAAGCAAAATTAAACTTGAAAACCTCTTGTATTCACTATTTTCCAGATTAGATGCAACTTTAGGATACTTTTTCTCCCTCATAATGAACCCTCTAGTTTTAGGGTATTAAGATCCTCAAGGTCTTGGATTTTTAGATGTGGTTTTACTGTTGCTATTAAGCTTAATGTTATTCATAAATCTGTGACATATAGATGTATTAAACATACATATGTACATACATAAAACAGTCTATATTTCTGCTTTGTGAATGCTGTTATACCATCTGATAAAAACACAAAGATGTCTTAATTACATGAACTTTGACATCAGAATTTCTAAATGCCGTAGACCATGTTAGAGTTGATAATGAAGTGGCTTGTTTGACATCAAAGCACATATTATTCATGACAGAACTGAGGTTGTTGTATTATGTTTTACACAGTATATCTTATATGATATCTAGTTGTCCCATCATACCTTCCGGTTTCATGTGTCCAAGTGGATAATAAATTTTGCGGATACGACATGATTTCATGTCATTTTGATTCATGAGTAAAGGGTCATTGAATGATCATCACTGTAGATTCCTTCTTTTCAGGTACATGTTTGTCCAACTAAGTCCAAAAGCATAACTAGGTGTCGTTATATATTAATTTACTTTCTTGCCTTAGATAACGGTTGAATCTACTACAATATAATGTAATTTGGAAGATGCATAAAATTTGCAGCTGTTTTTAGTTTCATTCATGTATAAGTACCTGATTTAAATTTATTTGGTGCTTATTTTATTAATGCTTAGCATTGTTTTCAAAATTTAGTTTCATCTTTCTCCACGGGTGGTGGTTGGACTTTATGTATGGCCTATTAATGCCTATTGAAGATATGCCAAAGCAAAATTAAACTTGAAAATCTTGTGTGCACTATTTTCCAGATTACATGCAACTTTAGGATTTTTTTTCTTCCTCGTTATGAACTCTCTAGTTTTAGGGTATTAAGATCATTAAGGTCTTGGTTTTGTAGATTTGGTTCTAATGTTGCTATTAAGCATAATGTTATCCATACATCTGAGAGATGCAGACTTACTAAACATACATATGTACATATACATAAAATAGTCTAAACCTATAGCTTTTATACCATGTAATAAACATACAAGGATGTCTTAATCACATGAACTTTTGACTTTAAAATTTCAGTGTACATCATGCTGTAGTTGATATTGGATTCAAAACCTTCATGATTGAGTTTAAATGGTAGGATTGAGGCCTTCAAAGCTTGGTGGTGGTGTGAGGAAGTTCCGAAAGCATTATTATTAAACAATTTTTTAAAGATTAGTAAAATTATAAAAATGAGGAGAAATTTAAAAAATTTAAAGAATTTTAAAAAGCGGCTAAAAGAGCTGTTAGTAGAATAAGATATATAGCTTATGATAATTTTTATAACAAATTAGGAGAAGAAGATATATATTGAATTACGAAAGCCAGAAAAAGAAAGTGTAAATATTTAGGTAATATTAGATGCATTAAAGATTAAGGTATAAAATACTTGTTAATGATAACGAAGTTAAGGAAAGATGGAGAAGTTCTTTTTATAAATTATTTGATGAACATTCCATAAATGATTTATTTTTAGGTTGTTCGTAAGGTTAGAGCTAGTGAAATTAGAGCTAGTGAAGTAAAAGATGCTAAAAAAGAAAGTGAAAATCGCTAAGAGTGTGGACCAGTTGGTATCCCTATTGAGTTTTGAAAAAGTTTAAGAGACCAGAGAGTAGATTGGTTAACTAGCTTATTTAATAAAATTATGAGATTCAGCAAGATGTCTTATGAATGGAGAGAGTCTTTTAGTGTCAATTTATAACAATAAGGTTGACATATAAAACTATTTAAATTATAGAGAAGTTAAAATCATGAATCATATTATGAAACTTTAAAAAAGAATTATCGAAATTAAGATAAGGCTCAAAATAAATATCTCTGAAAATCAGTTTGGTTTTATACTTGAAAGATCAACAATAAAAGTTATTTATTTATTAAGACAACTAATGAAAAAGTATAGAGAAAAAAGATTTGCATGTGATTTTTATTGATCTGGAGAAAGCCTACAATAGAGTTTCTAGAGATTTATTGTGATGTCATTATACTGATGTATAATAACATCACAATAAATCTAAGTCCTAATAATATTATACTGATGTATCCACTAATTATACTGATGTTATTAAGGTTTAATCTAAGTCCTAATAATATTAATATTATCTCATCTAAATTCTAAGTCTCCTTTTCCATCATATTCTTAAAAATTCTTACATTATTATTTTTAAAATTCCACCATCTAGTCCTAATAGATTTTTTTTTTCTTTTTCTTCTTTCATTTTCTATAATAAATATCTAATACCATCAATATCATCAATCTATGTTGATTGGTCAAGCTTTCGCCATATATAATTTTAGGGTTTACAACCAAAACAAACTCAATTGACTTAATATAATCATTCTAACCTGATCATGTACTCAGCATGATTGAAGTCTAATCTAGCTAAACCAACTTCTCAATACATAATAAAGAACTCTGAATAAGCAGAAAATTGAAAATGATTACGAGAGTCAAACAGATAGAATCTAAACACAAATTTGATCTCAACTTAAACCAAACAAATCCATAGACTCTCATCAGAAGCTGGTCAGTGGTGATGCTGTAGTCTTTACAGTAAGCTTTAGACAAAAATTTAGGAAATTGCAAGTGTTTGAATTTTTGGGAAAGCTATACGTAAAGGGGGAAAAAGCTTTTAGGGTACTTTATTTAATTTGGCTTCTATAATTGCAATGGCTTCTATCCTACTCTGGCTTCTGTATATATGTCTAAGAGTCTTTCTAGAAGTGGAAGTAGTTTTAGAGATAGGATTCTTAGCTGCATCAGCAAGTTTGGTATACCATTTACTACTTTGCCCTTTTAGTCAGTTAATTCCTTTTGCAGCCAAGTTTGCCTTCTCTTGGAAGTGATTGGTAATTAATTTAATGTTTGTTAATGTGATTCATAAAGATGAACATTCTTGAAAATCTGTTGCACATACAGATAGTTGATTGTGAGTGGTATGCATGATTGAATAGTAACATGAAGTGATATTTAGTTCATTTCAATACAGGTCAATCGAGTGGACTGTGTGTTTCTCCTGGTGGCCGCTTCCCAGCATTTTCAACTGATGGTAAACCTCCCAGAAAAGTAAACAAGGGACCTAAGGATCTTACATTGTGTAGAATATTTCGCCAAAATACATGTTGTGATGTGGCCCAAACATATCCTGCTTTCCTACTGATAAGAAGACTGGCTTCTGCTGGAGAAGGCAGCCAAGAATGTTTGCATTTGTGGGAACTGTTGGAGTGCTCTATCTGTGATCCACGTATCGGTGTTCAGCCTGGACCACCTATAGTTTGTGCCTCTTTCTGTGATATGGTTTTTCAGGCATGCTCGAGTGCATATTTTTCCATTGATGCCAAGACTCAGGTAATTTTTCGTGTTAATGTTGTTTTATTTTAGTTGATGTTAGGCGAATTCCCTTGTTCCTTCATCTCTTTCAGCTAATTTTCGCAAATGCATTAAATATTTTCTTTGGGAAGCTGAGAAGCATTATGCTTCTTCTAGTTATATAATATCAAAAGTTTGCGTAATTATTCAGACATGTCAGTAGTTAATAAGAGATGTTAAAATGAGCACATTCTTTCTGGTCCTGAGACCGTGACCATGTTTTCTTTTATGCCAATGTAATTGCATTACTTGCAACATTCAGCTTTCAGTCACTTTGTTATTCATTTTGTTTCCTTCTTCATCAGGCTTTGTCACCTTGTGGCTTAAGCGACACTATTTGTGGTAGAGCTACAGAATGGGCCTCTAATGGTACAGAGCTCTGCCACTTTGCAGGTTTCGCTGTTCAGCCAGATAGGCAAAGCATAGAGGGACATGATGAGCCATTTTGCTATGGAGGAAAAGCAAGTCTAGAATCTATTTCCCATTCATGGAAATCTCCACAATCTAGATCACGGTCAAGAACTTCAAACTTATGGGTGCTTGAAGATTTTCAGCAATGGGTGAGAGACATGCCAATCAGTGAAAAAGTTTTTTGGGCTGTAGGAGGGATGGTTCTTACTGCAGGACTTCTTCTAATAAGGTTAGTCTTATACCAGATACCGTGTAATGATTGGAAAGAATAGATTTTAGATCATCTGTTTGTAGCTTTCTGACATGTTCTTTGGCAAAAGAATTGTCTTTCTTTAGTCCAACTACTGCCAATGCTTTAATCAAAAATTTTATTTCGGGCAGTTTATTTAATCGAAAGTGCTTTTGAGGAAAGTATTTGGTTCATTGGAAATAGATCGATTGGAACGTGCAAGTGAAACTCTGGAAGGTCTGGAATTGGGGAAAGTGAAGTTCAGTGGAGTCCTAAGTTATTTACAGGATTGGAAAGGAGGGATTAGTTATTTGATTTGACTTGGGGGCACTCGACTCTGCCAGACTTTTGGATAACCAAACACACAGAGGCTAGGGTCTTTTAGTCTTCTACACAAAGTCCCGGTTAAGATTTTAATCATGCTGTTTTCATTAGCGTGACATGGTGGCCTATATGACCGTGGAATGGAGTATATGACCATCTTAGTTTTGAGTTTCTGAATGGTTGCTAGATATTCTTGTTATGTGATTAACTTTGGTTTGCAGTAGGTATTTATATTAAGCCCGAATTAATATTAAGCATTTGGTTTACAGTAGGTATTTATTGCACATTTGAGGTTCTGAATTATTTATTGCTCCTACAGCAAGAGAAAGGGCTACTCGCACCGACATAAGCAAGCAGCCATCCGTCGCACTGCTAAAAGGCTAGAAGCACGGATCAACCAGCAGTCCTCAACTACAAGGAAATAGGTAGTATCAGTTGGATCTACCCATTATTGTGCAGTGATTTTGCAATGACATGTTTTATAACGGGTTGCATCTTTATCGTGCCATGTACTGGTTGATTATCCTTCTCACTTTTTAGACTCTTACGCCCAGGCTCAACAGTTGTAGGATGTAGTCAGGTCAGGCATAGGATGTCGGTGGAGTTGTAATCATTTTAAGCGTTGCACCCTCTCATATGAATTGTGGGGCTTGTTCCTTACCAAATTCAGCAGCGGATTTTTTTTTTGTGTTTGTTAGTTTTGCATGACGTCGATTAGCCATGCTATTGTGCTTGTTGTGGCCCTTTGCAGTGTCCTACCATGCACGTAGGTTTGCAGTTGTGCTTGTTGTGGCCCTTTGCAGTGTCCTAAGATGTTAGGATGGCTAAATGGGAAAAAGCCTTTGCATTGGTCAACGTAGGTTTGTTATGTTAATTATAGATTATCCCTTATTGTTAACTATATAGTTATGAGAGTGAAATATTTAGATTCATTTATTTTAATATTATTAATTTTATTAATAAAAATATAAAAAATAAAAAGTAAAAAGATAATTTTAATATTTTAGTTTAATAAAAAGTAAAAAAATAATATGGTAGTAGGCGATGATGTCATTGGGGATTATAGGTAGTTGTTGTAGATGATGAGAGGAGTGATAAGAGGTGAGTATCGTTTTATATTTATGTTGATGTAATTGTCGGACAATGAAAGGGTCGCTAATGTATATGTCGAGTAACGTCGTTTTACATTTATGTTTTTACACAACTGTGTCAACGTCGATGTATATACATTGTTATATATCATCATTTTTAAATGTAGAGATCATATTAAAAAAAATTATCTTAAATCTTTAGATTTATAAAGAATAAATCTATAATTAACCTTAGGTTTGTCTTAAAGAAAGTTTCTTTTTGTGACACAAGATTTTGCTGACATAAAGTTAAAATAGGGTACCCCATATTTTGGTCGAATGAACGAACAGTTTGTCCCAAATAAAAAATGGTGCACTTGAGAAAGGTGTCATTTTCAATCTTTGCTCCCTTTTCTCGAGCTGCAAGAAAATGCGGTGTGCTCTCTCCCCAGACAATGCAGTGTTCTCCCAGCAACGAGGGCCTGTTTTTTTCAGAGTTACGAAGAGGGATTCCGGTCTTGAGAAGAATAACTAATAAGAAATCACATCTCAAGCACAGACAAAATCGAAACATTGTTGACACAAACTGCGAGCGAGCAAAACATCACGGGGAAAAAAGGTATCGAGGATCAGAAGGTATCGGGGAAAAAAGTAATCTGCCAAACAAGCAGGCTACTTCTTAGCGTATGTGATGAGCATGGGGTTCTGCTGCGTGATCTTGAAGCCCTGAAGCCCTTGCATAGCCACCGTAGACTGCATCTCATCCCCATACTCCACGAAAGCAATCCCTGGCTTTGCTTCCACCATCCGCACCTCCTTGAATCCGGGATATTGACAGAACAGCATCTGCAGCATCATTGGCGTGGTCTCATGGGGGAGGTTCTGAACAAACAGAATATTATTGGGCAGGGCTGGTGTTTCCGGCAGCATGGACTTGGCCCCTCCACCGTAAGCCATTTGAGCCAGCTGAAAGGTTTCACAATGTAAATTATTACGTCACATATAGGAGAAGACACCACAACCATAGGTACTACTACTCCGAAGGAAGTGAAACCTAAACGTATTACATCAATATAGGATCTAGTAGAGAACTCATGTATGTAATCTTACTTTCCTGCAAACACATCACTCAAACCCTGATCACCATATTGCAAAAGGAGCAGCCTCAGCATGATGCCAAAGCGCACACACTATTGGCAACACTAAAATAAGCGTATCTAAATTAATTACAGCTAATTAATTACCAAACAAACTTCCTCACTACACATCACAAATCAGGCTAATCATGCAAATTCTAATATTTTGGTGGGGTGACATAATCACAAAGAATAGGCAAGAGCTGAAGAACTTTCAAAGGTAGGTTGATAAAGTCCTTTGAGAGAAGACCATGTTTAATGCAACACTTGCAACTGTAATGCAAAGCTACTGGGTCCCATGACCTAGGATTTACATGAGGTAATATGCCATTGTAAAAAAGAAGAAAGTAGAGATATGAAACACAATGCTTACCGGTGGTACAGCTCCATAGGCACCAGAATAAGCAGAATTTATCCCTGTCCCAGCTTGATTAGCATCATGGTGTTGCTCCCGCTTCTTTCTGTCTGCTGCATCACATGAAACCCAGATACATCGTCTTATAGATTACACACAATAGCAAACACAAAGAGGTGCAAATTACGAGGCCACAAAAACGAAAATATCCCCAAATTCAGTCACCAAATCAAATAATATATGATGATTGGCTGCACAAGGATCGAGAAATCAAGGGAAAGAAGATAATTTTAATTCTACCTCTCTCATCATGCCTCTTCCGTCTTTCTTGAGGGGTAAAAGTTCCATCAGCCTTTGAAATTATGTCTGACTTCGTCTTTGCATACTGAATTCTCTGATTTCTCAGAAAATAAGTTGGTCAATTGCAAACATGAGAAGCATTTGTTACAAGGGGCAAGGGTACTCTCAAAGTTCAATACTGAATTACAACTTTACAGAGATCACTTCATGCCACATAAATAAATAAGATGCTCCATCAGACTGTATATTAAACTAATGCCACAAAAACTTTGCTTGCTCTGGAATATGTACTAATCAGCAATATATAAAAATATCTTATAAATGCGGGCTATGTTACAAACACGAAATTACAAAGAATTTGTTCAACATTTTGAACATGAATGATGTATGAAAATAAGGAAGATTCAAGGGGAATATCTGTGTCTACAAAGCTTCGTATATGTCTAGGAAATAACATATTAACCAAAATGTTCTTCACATGGTGCAAAATTGGACTGCTACAAGCAAAATTCCAAATACAATATAATTGAGTGTAGCAGTACTGCAGTAGTAAATTTCTGAGGCTACAGATCTCAGTTATCAAACTGATACGAGTGGCATCAAAATAACAAAGATCTGATGCAGATAAGCATTTGAAAAATAACAACACATTGGCAGATACCACAATTACAATCAACAAAAATAATTACATATTTTAGCCAAGGAATGGCAACCCTTTCCTTCCCTTTTTTATGAATGATGAAAGAGTGCTATCTCCAGTACAGCAGGAATTCCACATGTTCTCTTATTGATTGCTGATCTAAGAAGCAACCAAGCATTTATGGCTCTGCACTATTCATCTCGACGAATCTCATAAACCAGTACAAAAGGGGCAGCCATGTAAACAAGTACAATGCTAATGAATATGGGGCCCACAAAGCTTTGTTTGTCTACAAGTTTATCCTACATGCACGGCTAATTTGAGGGTCCAAAACCATCAGCTCTAGAAATAATGAAATGATTATGAATGATGATCTCAGTATCAGGTTAAATTGCAACAGACTGAAAATATGAGTTTCCCTTAACCTTGGTTTAAAAAGCCCATCATAAGGTTGATAACAGAAAATTCACTTGTCACAGCTACAAACACTAGATGAGACTAAGTATACATGTTTTAAGTTTTATGTTACAATTATCTCATTATACCTCAGATGCTGGCTAAGGAGTCATTCAAGGAAGTGATAGCAAAGCACACCTTTTTCCTCCACCTAATCATCATAACTTGCTTCCAAAGTAAACCACCTTAATCCAATATCATATATTCTTTCTTAGAAGTTGGTTTCATCACCCACCATTTAAATCGATATTGAAATCACTGGAACTAAATTTAATGCAGAAGATGTTACCACCTTGTCAAACAATATGGGTTAACCATACCAGAAATACCTCCAAATGTACTAAATATTTCGAATAACAAAAAAAATCATAAAGATGTAAAGATGTTTGGTCAATTCTTTCCTTGCCCTCCACCTAACCATCAAGTGTCAATCAGCAAAATAAATTTATGTAGCCTTAATCCTACATTCACAGCAAAATAGAAGGAAAATTATGATATGATTATTCTGTTGTCATAGGAGAAGAAATTATTCAAAACACAGAAACTAATATTGTTATTGAATTATTCAAATTCATTATACTTTTTCAATATCCCCATCGAACCCCACGAAAATATTAGGAGTCAGACTATCCTTCCTCTCCTCCCACATGAGCCTATATCCTTGCACCTCTCATTTCACTCCACTGCTTTTTATTTTGTTATTTACCCTTGCAAATTTCAACCTTTTTATTTTAGTGATGCAATTTAGAAAAATGAGATTGACAGAGACAAAGGCACTTTGCTAGCCAGTAATATGCTTTAAGACCTTAGCTACCACATGTACAAGGTATGAATTCATGAATATCCACTCGAGATGTCTTTACATCTAAAACCTTAAGTTCCATAAAGATGGTTTTCATTTATCAACTGTGTTGTACACAACAGCATCAACAAGAAGTCATTATATCCCAACAACAAGCCATAATGCCATCTGTGGTACTCTGGAATAAAAAAAGCTGATATTTTCATGAAACTATTTCTCATGGGAACTAGAAAAAAAAAACACATTGACTCAGCAAGCATATCATGACTATAGCAGTTTCATTTTAATTATAGGTTATAATCCGTCGCATCCATCTACAACAGCATGCCAATGTTAAACCTATGACCCCTCTCTAAAAGAGGTCTATGCTCACATTATAATTTTGCGAGGCATGATAACATGGTCCATCCATACTGTCACGGACAAAACTGTAAACGGGGTGTTTGATGTAATGCTCATGTATGTCCGTCCGTACCTTTTAGTTTTGATCATGCTTTGCACAGCATGTAAAGGGCTGGTAGTAGGCTTCGCAGCCCCATTTTCTTTGGTTTGGTGGTAGTCTTAAGCTTGCAAACAAAGGTTGTGTCATGTGGGCACTTGTAGGGATTTTGGTCTGTAGTGGACCATTTTGGACCCTTTGTTGTGCGACTGTTCAAAGCTTATAAAGTCTGTTTGTAATTTGCATCGGCTATGAAGTGTTTGCTGAAATGATTGCCTGTGGATCCCGAGTAAAATGTTTTCTCTAACCTGTTTTCTCTTTTGTAGGTCCTAAGGGACCATAAAAGGTTTCAGGGGGGGGGCTGACCTTTGCGAATGGACACACAAGGGTGTCGCACGACTTAAGCAAAACCAGCTAAGTCTGTGATATATTGTATCAAAGCAGGACAAGCATACATAAAAACACTTGGCATGCAAATGTGGGGGACCTAGTGGGGCTGCGTTGAGGGCAACCAGCACACGCGACCATTTGGGGGAAACGACATAGAGATGTAGGGAAAAGGAGTCGCTCAGAAGAGCGAGCATTTGAGATTGACATTCAGAGGAATGGCCAACCCTTCGCGTAAGAGACACCACGAGGACAAGCAAGCTAGAAAGAATGTGTGTGCACAAAGGTTGGGATGGCTAAGCTCGAGCTACCACTCCACATTAGCAACCATACTTGATGGTGCTCAAAGCAAGCGAGGCGCTTGGTGATAAGACCGTGCAAAGTGGAATGGATTGTTCAATGACCGAAAGAGTTATGCAAAGCTCACAGAGATGAGTGGAATTGCTAACTCGAAGAATTCGATACTCATGCAAGGGCTTGTATGCAAACGATGAAATGTTCGTGGCCATCCCAAGGCGACCGAAACTCGACGTCATAGAGCATTGAAACTTTCTCTTTGGCATGAGAAGGATACGTTCGTAGGAGGCTGATGTGTGCAGTGAGTTCAACATGTTGCTAGGCCTCGAGGGGTGCATCAGGGGCTGTATTGGTGAGGAGTCACAATCTAGCAAGTGCATTTGCGGGGACAGAACAATGCACAGTTTGTTCAGCAAGACGGAGTAGTCCAAGGGGATGGTGGTCTCCGAAACTTCCATAGGGAAGGATGCGAAGAAAGAAGTTGCTCCAATGCGACAAATACCTTAGAGGGATAAGTCTCGGTTCTCCAAAGGGAGAATCATGTGCAATGGACTACACATGTTGAATAGGAGTACCTTAAGACAACAACCCCACAAAGCTCAACGGACCGAGCGAGTGGCGAGGAGTTATCGCATGATCTCGAATGAGGTAATGTATTGATGGATGCATTGTGAGATCAAGTAGGGGAGCGACCCAAGGCAACACAAAATGAAATACACTTAGAGCTGATATGGAGATCGGACTCAACGGAGGGTTGATCCGTGCAATGGTGGGTGTGAGGGCCACCATCAATTCAATGCATATCGAGGAGTAGAGCAACTTGGGTGTAACTTGGTGAAGTACCCAAGCTGCATGAAGGAAGTCGGCATAGAAGATAAAATATGGAGCGAAGGCATGAAGCTTTCCTTGGATAGAGGTCAAGGACATGAACTCTTGTAGAGGTAAGAGCAGGATCATGTCATTCTATGGGTCCCTCATTCTGATGGAGCGGACTCATCCTGCATGGTGCCAAAGACGAAGGGAGCTTCGAGGTACGTGCACCTTATCTCGGAGAAGCATTTGACGGAGGAACCAAGGCAACTCAACTTGCAGAGGCGAAGTTAGGTTCGGAAGGCCTTGGCATAGGACAAGAGGACACAGAGGCGGGTACTCTTGAAGAATACGCCATAGTGCTATCATTCAAGTTGCCATTAAGGAAGCGGTGCGCAGCGGAGATTGTGCTGGCAGGGGCAGAGGCCCAAGATCCAAACAATGGTGCACTAATTTCAACGAAGTCCGTGGATTTCGGGAGCTACTAGGCGATAGACCGTCGTAGAGCTATGCTTCGTCTGGATGTGACCCAAGAGCGGGTGAACGAAAGTTGATTGCTAATGGACCGAACATAATCGAAGGTGGAAGAGGCCTTGCGATGTGTTGGCAGAGGCCACATATGGAGGGATCGCAATCTGAGTTCATCCCACAATGATCAGAATGCAATAGAAATGTCACCAAGAGGCGACATGATGCAACGGATCGTGGTGGAACAATTCGTGGCAATACGATACACATGAAACTAATCTCGCGAGGGACTAAATCATATAAAGGTATGATCGGGAGCCATTAAGAGCTCCACTTCAGTGAACAACATGACGACAAGAAAGGCTATGGATTTAAGAAGTGAATGCTATGGTATCGTAGAGGCGGGTCTTTCGAGCGTGCATCGAATTTTGTATCGGATAAAAGTCTTGGTCATCAGCATATGGGGGCTATGTACCACCGAGGGAGAATATCGAATGCAAGTACTAGTGAGTCTTATGGGGGGGGGGACTTGATCATGTAAAGGTATGATTGGAGTGGCTAGAGAGTTGGACTGCTCAAGAGCTCATATTTGATTAAGGGAGCCCGACAAGTCAAAGGACAAGGCCGAGTAAGCGAACGTCGCTATCAAGGAAGCTAAGGAGAACAGAATCGGTACGAACCCTACAACATGATGGCGGTAGCTATGCATAAGAGATACATGCTATCTTTCCATCGACTAAGGGGAACTGCTCAGAGAACACAGAGGTGTTGAAGTAAGTGGTCGAAAGGGGCGAGAAAGCGACGACGAGTCCAGAAGAACTTAGCTACCCAAAACCAAGCATCGATTAAAATGGAGGTGGACTCGAAAGAAGGCCACAATGCCATAGAGGCAGATCTACCGATCGCGAAAAAAGGGACACAGATGCGAGGCGATGAATAGTAGGGTCGTGGGCATGGCAACGCTATGGTACCGCAGAGACGGGGCTTCCGTGAAGTCGTCGATCCCTTGTTCTCTTGGATGGAGAGTGCTTGGTCGTGAAAGGGGCCAAGGAGATGGAGAATGTAAAGGCAAACTCCAAATAACAAGACAAGGCTAAAGAGCAAAGGCCAAGGAACTTCGTAAGACCAATGTCAACGAGCTTATCATCAAGATAGCCAAAAGTGAAGGACTTCGAGTCGATGCAAGAGTGCTCAACCAAGAAACGAAGCATGCAGTACGCGGTGCTATACCTTTGCAACTCAGAGGAATAGGCGGCAAAAATAATAGAGATACGGTACAATCCCAGAGACAACCAAAACTATCAGAGACTTGCTCCAAGTTGGGATGAAAACTTCTTGCATTCCAAAAGTTCGATTACATTGAGAAGATGAATCACAGTAGCTAACTCAACACAAGGTATGTAAATACTTCAGGTCCTTCAAAAGTATGAGCAAAAAAGCGGCGAAGGCTAGTAACCAACTCGATGCATTGAGTACAACCCTCGAGGAAGCAAGCGAAGTCAAGTAACATTTGTCTTTTGAACTCTTAAGAGAATGAGTGAAACTGAGTACCTCAATTCTCTTATCTATCCAGCAGAGGAGCTCTGCACCGGTTCAAAGACTCTTTGAAGAAACCTAATGGAAGATAGTAGTTATCAAATTCTGACCAATGGTGATCAATGCTACTGAGAGTAGATTATCCGCTTCATTTCCCAACAAAATGTCAATCGAAAGCGAAAGTGATGCAAACCTACTTGGAAGTGACGACTAAGTGGAAGAAGAATCGATGGACAAATTTTACAGAGGAAGGACCCAAAAACTTTAAGGTCTGCGAAGCGATGCTCGTTGAAGCTCCAACAAGCATCCACCTAATTCAAGCGACATGAGGCATTTGAGGGACTAAAACATATTAAGGATGATCTTTTCCTTCATCCGAGAGATCCGTAAGAAACAACAGGGATCGGCATAACTCAACCGACCCCACACTAGAGCCAGAGTCATTGGCAAGTTAAAGCAGCATGGCGGATCAAAGTTCGACTACTCAACAACAATAGCGGAGTCCAGTTGAGAATCAAGAGGCGCATTACAACTGGAGAAAAAGATTAAAGATTTAGCAAAGGCGAAGAGATGTAGCATCTGCAAAGGCTTCGACGAGGATATCGAAGGAATAAGTGGGGGAGAATGTCACGAACAAAACTGTAAACGGGGTGTTTGATGTAATGCTCATGTATGCCCATATCTTTCGGTTTTGTTCATGCTTTGCACAGCATATAAAGGACTGATAGTAGGTTTAGCAGCCCCATTTTCTTTTGTTTTGGTGGTCGTCTTAGGCTTACAAACAAGGATAGTGTCATATGGGGATTTCAATCTGTAGTTGACAATTTTAGACCCTTTGTTGTATGACCGTTCAGAGCTTGTAAAGTTTGTTTATATTGACTATGAAACGTTTGCTGAAATGATTACTTGTAAATCCCGAGTGAAACACTTTCTCTAACCCATTTTTTCTTTTGTAGGTCCTAAGGGACTATAGGAGATTTCGAGGAGATGACCTTGGCAGATGGACACATAAGGGTACCGTACGACTTAGGCAAAACTAACTAAGTGCATGATAATACAGTGCTTAAATATGTAGCTATTTAAAATCACAAAAGTTGAAGCATTAATTATAAAATGTTTATCACAATTAATTCAGGACATTGCAGAAAGCTTTCCCCAGGTGCAAATGACAAGAAATTCCTGACAGACATTCAAATTCACAGAAGTTCCATACAGGCAACTTGAGGCATTAAAAGCTTACCATAGGCTTATCATAAAAAGGAAATCCTTGCATTCGTTTAAGTGCCTCAGTTGCTGATGAAACATCCTCAAAGACTACCCACGCTTGCCCTTTGTGTTTCAATGTCTTAAAAGCAAGAACCTCCAATATCTTCCCAAACTGGGAGAAAACAGCATGCAGAGACTTCTTGAGTTCTAGAATGGAATAAGAAGTTGAATTAGCTCTTGTAACCAGCTATTATAATCAAACTAGAAAAAGAAAAAGGACAAGCAGATTTACAGCAGTAGCTTGCAAAATTATGATATGGGAAACATCAATTAATGCGAATTAGCATAGCAACATTTGGTTGCTGGCTTCTCTTCAATGCTCGCTATGAACAATGGAAATACTACTCAAGAATCAGAAACAAACCAAGTGCTGCTATTTAATATTCAGTTAAAAGTAGTAAATTGTAACATAACGCCAAGTGAATTGTTGTACAAATGACGCCAAGTGAGAGATTTAACAGACAGAGGTGTGATAAGCATAAATCTATAAAGAACAAAGAGAAGAAGGATTTTGCCTCGCTATGATCGTAATTTGACTGACTGGACGGGAGCTAATCTAGCGTTAAAAGAGGAAGATATCTTGATGAACAGGTTCAAGAAATCATACAGATTACTCGGAAATTCTAAGCATCGTTTCCAAGGTTTGTGAGAAAGGGAGAGAGCGCAGCAAAAAACTCGAGAAAAGACGAAAATTAAAGATGTTAGGAAAACAAGAAGGCGTCAAGAACTCCAGTTAGGGTTGGCGGTAAATTAGGGTTAAGAGGACAATATAACACGCCTTAATGAGCATGCATCGCTAGTTCCAAGCACCAAAAGCAAGATAGAAAGATCCAAAGAACCCTACCGAAGCGCACGCATCCTTTCTAGGTTTTACAGTGCAAAAAAAGAATAGAAAACAACAACCCGTCAAGAACTCCAGGGAGGAAGAAACAAACAGAACGAAGAGACGTGGACAGGCAAGAACCCGAGAAAGAAAGAACGAAGAGAATGGGGCAAGCAAGAACTCATCGTCCTATGTTCATGCAACAGACAAAAAAAGGAACAGGAACGAAGAGCAGGAGGAAAACAAGAACTGGTGCTTCTAGGGTTCACGATAAATCACCGTCGAGCTTGATCTTCTCGTTGAGGTTGTTGATGTAGATGGTCATGTTGGGTGGAACCGTCGGAGTCTCCCCGCCTCCGCCGCCATCGGTGCTCATCTCTCTCGATTTCTCTCTCTCTCCCTCCGCACTCTAAGCGAGACACGTTTTGGGAGCCCAACTGGAGAAGCGGTGATCCGAGTGAGTTAGTCGAACCCGTTCCTTAGACCGCACGACTCCGAACAAAGATAGGTCGCCACGTGTGCTCCCGTCTCACACCGCGTTAGGGCGTTCGGTTTCCTCTAAAGATCGGTCACTTGTCGTCCGATCCGATGGTCATGTTATGATGATGAAATCAGAAGCGCACGATCCTGTGGAATCACCTTGTGCAAATTTTTATCCGACCCCCTTTGAAGTAAAGACATTAATTTGGCTCGTCAGCTACAAATGCAGTAAATTAAAATACCATTTAACTTGGACAAGCCAGCTAAATCCATGACACGTATCATGAATTGAATGGTTATTAATTACCATATATTCGTAATTATTAATTCTCAAAAAAACGAAAGCCAAATTTTAAAATGAAGTATTTATTCCAAATGTGCTTTTTTGGTAGATAGAACCCAACATTACGGTATTACTATCCTAATAACGAAGTTAATAGATCAATGGATTAAGATTAAGACATAATACCAAACTATTAATTCGAAACCAGCATTCACAGAGGCATATAATTAATACTAACAGGAATTGGCCTGCCGATTCTCCGGCACATTATCATCCTACCTCTTGCGTAACAAAGTGTCATTTGATCTTAAACAAACACGATTGAGGAGTTCAATAAAGAAAAAGGTATAGAATGTATTTTGTTTTCACCTATCAGCTTAGCAATGAGAGGGTGACCGCAAAAAATGTAGTTGTCAGGTCCCAATTGACTGATTACTTCAGGTCATGTCAAAAGCATCGGCTGTTGCTTGGTCACCATTCATCTCAACAGCTTAAGAGACTCGGATCATCCTGAATCAGCATGACCCTTGAAAGCAGTCGTGTACAGGAGGAGTAGGGGCAAAAAAAGAAGAAAACATGTATTAGTTTGCTGTACAACTAGAAAGCGTCGGCTACTGGCGCAAGAACGAGACATAGGCTTCACTCTCCTAATGATTCAAGACTCAGTGGAATGTGTTTCAGGGCCAACCAGAATCAGCACCAAACAATGTAAAGCTCCGGTCAGCTCAAACCCACAAGATCCCGCCCGCCAGGCCGACTCATCCTCTAACATCGTCAATAGGCGCATCAAACTTTTCCTCCTTTTGATGGCTGCTTGTTTGGAAGACAGAACGAACAGCTGGATTAGTGTCTTTCAGTAAAGCAGGAAATTTAACTAGTATGTTAAGCATATAATAAACTTGTTATCATTTTTTCATATTTATACATAAATCATTGGTAAGACAACAGATCTTCTCCAAGTTGAAAAAGAAGGTTACCTTATTGGGTATCTTTGCCAATGCGTCAAAGCTTCCGGGTGTGGCTACTTTCAATATCTCGAATGAACATAGTAAGTTTTCATCTATGCTCAACAAAGCACCCACATTATCAAATTCCCCACAATAGTTTGGAGCTGAAAAAATTGTGACTAATCTTCGGTGAGCGAAGAACTCATATCCATCCTCCACCACCTACGAAATAACTATCAACTTGAGCAACATTTAACAAAACGTAGGAAAAAAAATGGAACAGAAGGAGAAAGGACAGTGATTACTTGATGAGCTCGGCAAATAAGATCCAGATCATTCTTCTCCAAAAACTCGACAAGCTTATCTGCACCAAAAGTGACTGAAACTCCTCGATCACTCTCACCCCAGCCTTGTACATCAGAATCAGGATCGGACCAAAGCAAATCACAAAGAAGACCATAGTCTGGAATCTCAGTGGGCCTTGAGATATCTCGAATTTGGTCAATGTTCTCCAATTCTGGTGAAAGACCGCCATGCATGCACAAAATCTTTTCATCTATCAGTGCAGCCAAGGGCAAGCAATTAAAACAATCACAAAATGTCTTCCATAGTCGAATATTGAATCTCCTTTTACACTCATCATAAAATCCATAGACTCTATTGATTTTAGCATCTTCATGGTTGCCTCTTAGAAGAAAGACTTTGTCCGGGTACTTTATTTTATAAGCCAAAAGCAAGCATATGGTCTCCAAACTATATTTGCCTCTATCCACATAATCTCCAAGAAACAAATAAGACGAATGAGGAGGGAAACCGCCGATCTCAAAGAACCTCAAAAGGTCAATGTATTGCCCATGTATATCACCTGCAACAGAAAAGGCATATCAAAATGTTTCAAGATTCTCAAGCCAATTTATCACTCAAATGTGAAAAGCATGTTAGTAAAAACAAACAACTAAATTTCAAGCATCCATTTTAATCTTGATATGGGAAGATAACACATGGCAAGCTGTCAATACTCTGGCTCGCACATCATGTGGGTCCCTGGTCCACTAACTAGGTGATGTGATTGAGGAGGTGAACGGGCGTAACTATAATCCTGTGATTCTTGGATTCGGTGAATTTGTGATCGTAGGATAATCTTCCATGATATTTAACCATACCTTCGAGTCTTACGATCCCTCACCGTACTATAAAAGCCCTCAAGTAAGCTACCTACGAGGATTACAATTGACTTAATAAGTTTGACACTTAATCGAATTCTCTGAACTCACTTGCTAACTTAAGTATCAGATGGGCTTTGATGGGCATGCACCCAATGCAGTTTTGCAAAGTCATGATTTAGCATTTCGACATTCTTTGAATTGAGGACTCGTCTCGGTTCTGTCATCTCCTCACCTACCACCCATTCCACCCCCTCACCAGGTTCAACATCATCTTCTTTCATAGGATCTGAGGACTCGTTATGACCGTTGAATCTATTATTCCCAAAGGGGAATTTGTCGTTGATGGGGTGATGTTGATGGGATCTTCGGGCAAAGCTAATCTAAGGTGGTCGAAGTCACCTGAGAAATTGCCAAGAGATACCCAAAGTTAAAGGAACTATATCCAAACTGGGTTAATCCCTTGGCGAAGCCCCGAGAGGCCTTGTACTCCATACAACAGGCCTCGTCTTCTTGGAGCAACCCATTGAGACCCTCCACGATACCTTGGAGATTGGCGAGCTTGATTTAGGCTGTCATTGCCACTTGAGCAAATCAGTCCCATTCCACTTATACTTCCTCTACGCCATGAGATCTATGGCTGATCCTACGGCTCCAACACCATATGCCTTGTTGCAATGGACTTCAACTCATCTCATCCACCTTAAGCTAGAATTGAGTTGCCTCGTGCATGATTGTTATCTTATGTTCGAGTTAATTGCCTTATTCTGAAGGTCATTGCACTCCCTCAACAGGTGAGACACGACGACCAAGGCATCGAGGACTCAATTGATCAATGCTCCCACTATATGGTGGTTTAGACGCTTACCATGATGGTACCCTTATGGGCGTTAACGATGAGGTCCTTACTGGACCTCACATACAAACCTTTCACTAACCCCAAGTGTAGGACACCCCGGTTTCTTAAGGTGGCCACTCGTGGAACCTCCAAGAGTTGGTTGGTCGCAACCAACCCCCAATTGAGCTAGAAGGGGACCCTCTCCTGCTTCAGGCCAACTTGGTGCCAACTCGCAGCGAATGAGAATCGATCTATCAAGTAGACCTTGAACACGTTAAGAGGTGGGCCGCTCGAGTGGGCCGATGAGATTGAAGGTCTTAACTCCCCCCCAACCATTATCACTGCCTCTCCCATCGAGATCTCCTCGAACGGGAGGATTCAACAACCCTCGAAGACTCCCCCCTCGTGGCAGAAAGGGGGATAGGACCTTCTATACACCCTAAAAAGGAAGGCTCCTCGATCCTCTAGCATTAGCTAGATAGAGGTGGTAGTGGTGAGTCCCTTCGGTGCTTGTGCATCAGATTCAATGCCAAGGCTCGCCATTCCTCTTCAAGCATGTTGAGGTGCCCGATGCTCGGGCCTAGTGTGCTAGTCATAGGTGCCTTGCAAGCCAACCACGTGAGTGATGGCACGTGTGACATGCTACGCAGTCTTTTTGCTTATTATTATTATTGGCATTTTTTCACTTTATGGTGTATGTTGCATATATTGTAATGTCCATGGATCTATGCAATGAGAATCAGATCGTGATGAGATCGCGATAATGAGATTGATTCATCTTTAAACACAGATACTAAATAATCTCAATCGTAGGTTACTACTCCAAAGGGACATCGAGATAACCGGACAGACCAGTGTGCTATATACTCATCTATATGATAGAGGCGGTTGGTCTCATAGCTGCTCGTGTGGGGACACTAGGGATACAATACAAGTGCTCATTGAAGAATGAGTTCACTGATTGATCCGCTCACGGAATGTTGGATGGTTGATAGTACTTCATTATCAAATAATGATTTTGTGGTCTCATTTGTGTGTTTGATCCTTAGACCTGAGACACCAAGGATGTCTAGTATGAGTACTTCGCTCTTTGATACTGGATTTATAGGTTTGGAGGTTTCAGATCTGACACAACCGATCATCGGGGGTGGTAGCCAACGTTACAAAAGCAATTGAGTATCGATAGAGGATTATCCGCTCTCGGTGTCATGAGAAGCATATCCTATGTGTTCTTGCTCAAGCAAATCCCTGGCCAGGGTTATTCGGATTGAGAGAGAAAGAATTCTCCAAGAGAATCTGATTAGAGCGAACTCGAGTAGATTTTGTATGGGCCTGACAGCACCATGCTCGTTATACGGTCTCTAGAATATTAAATGGATGAGGGACTATAGATCCACGGTAATTAAGGACAAATAGACCCAATAGATTGGATTCTCTTATATCGTTTGGGGACTACGACGTAGTGGCCTAGTACGTCCGTAGTCGATGAGTCGATTGAATTATTATAAGAAATGATAATTCACTGAGTTAAGAGTTCTAACAGGCATGACTCACAGCCAGCTCGATATTGGGCCTAGAGGATCACACACATATGGTAGGTGTTACAACAAGTAGAGGTTCGAATATGAGATATCCGTTGGAGACCCTATCTTATTGGATATCCAATAAGCCCTTGAATTATTGGATATCCAATAAGCGTTTGAATTATTGGATCTTGTGGATAAGATCCAATAAGAGC